AGTATTCCTCGTGACAGTGAGTTTTTGAAGTTAGCGACCGAATACGTCAGATTAAACAGTCCAAATTGATTCAAAGATAATAGGTAACAACTAAAAATTTTTTTGAAATCAACGCTGCAAAAAATAGGTACTTTAATAAAATATTTTAAAAATTTTATACAAAAAAGTACTTGTATTGCTTATGTCCCTATATACCTGAAAATCAAACTCTGTTCCGAGGGTATGGCAGGCAGAGATTGATCAATAGGAACAAATTCGATGATCACCTGAAAGCAGCTGTATTTGCGGTGCTCTTATATGGTTTCGAAACATCATCCGTTTTGATGCTTGTCCAAATTCCTTTTAATAACGCTATCTGCGAAGTATCGTAAAGCGCAATGGTATTTTCGGGTCTCGAATGAGCAGGTGGTAGCAATTGGTCTGCGAAAACAGTCAGATGAACTCAAACACCGAGGTCCGGTTTGGCTTGATAAAACGGCCCTAAAAGAGAACAGAGATGTTTCCTCAAGTGGGAACCTTCAAATGGCTGTAGACGCGTTGGAGGAAGGATAATACAAAACAGAAGCACTTCGTTGAGGCACAGCTGCTGGCGACATGGAATATGAAATTTGCCATAGCAATGAATGTTGCCTAATATTAATCTGAGGTATAATTTCGAAAAGTCAGATCATTATTCTGCTGTTTAACCTTAGCTGGCCTTTGAGGACGATGGTAAATGAAATCATTATGATTATCACTGCAAAATCGTTCCGTTAAAGTTTTGAAATCCGTCGAAATTAGTGCATCTTCATCTATAAGAATCAGCCATAAAAGTAGGAAGGAAATCTTCACAGATACGAATGTTGCTTACTAACCAATTGGAAATTCATAGTAGACTCTCGTACCATAGCGGCTAGTAAGAATACATTTACCGTAATTCTACTGTTAGTTATAAATATGTTGTTTTTATAACTGCTGCTGCCTACGACGATGAAGTAACTCAGAAATTGCGTAGAAAGCAAAAATGCCGTTCTGTGTACAACGGGAAAACATGAATCATTCTTTATCGCCCTACCCTCACTTTTCATGATTAATGCGATTCTAATAGCATGAATGACGTCCGTTTTTCTTCAGTCGTGGACATTCTTTCAGGGCCAGGTGGACCTTCCCTTAAAGTAGTGATGACAATAGTCATTCTCTGTTTAATGGAGAAACGGTATTGCAAAGGGAGGATTATATTTTCTTGAACTATTCCTAGTCAACTTAGAGGAATGGAGCGATGCAACACATCATATAGTTTAATCTGAGATAAAAAATTTGTTATCGTTCGCAAGTCGGTCTTTCTTACACTTTCATGACGGAGCCATTCTGGTGTCCTGCTTTTTATTAAGCTAATGAAGCGTTGATCGTTATTTCGCCGTACAAGCATACACTTTCTATGGCTGTATAAATTAACATGTAATGTGTCCCCACCTAAAACATTTTTTGGAGTTCGTAGTCAGAATATTGTTGCTATGGAACGACGTTAGAAGCATTGTCTATCGAACGCACCGCACCTCTTCATCACTCTCTTTTCATCAGTCCATAGTTTCACAGTTCAGCACAGTCCTTCAATACTATAACAGTGCCAAACGAGAACACATCAAATTTTGTTTCTTTTGCCTTGTCAGTCATTGCACATCCTGATTTTCGTCATCATCGTGCTACGCGAATATTAGATTCTGCGCATGGAGATTCTGTTCGTGCAATATATTACCAAACAAATGTTTTAATTCTTGACTGATAACCATGACATTGATCATTCTTTTTCCAGAAACGACGAAACAGAACAAGCACTTTTCAGAGAAGGCGTCACGTTTTAAAATGCAGGTTATCCATCATCTTATTCTCTACACAATAATCAGCTATTTTCTCTCCACTGTTGGAAAAAAGCCTCTACAATACTGACAGGCTTATTATATCTGCCATGTTTATCCACCTCTATCCAGCGAACTTCTTCAGCTCAACCTGCCATCGGTCTGGATGCCTTCTACGGGTCGCCTAGCCTCTCTTAAAACCCAATATAGCGTGTATGTTCGAACGACGGTTGGTTCATCTTGCATTGTACCCGTTCACCTTAGCGTCTTCATTCACACAATAATGTTGCAGGTTCTTGTTTTTGCTCTTATCCATTTAATCGTCTTCCTACATCTGCTTGTTAATCCCAACATACATCGCTTCATGTTGCGTTGCGTAGACTGGTGTTTATGAATCGCTTTGGGTCCACGTTTCGTAAGCATGGATTATCAGTGAAAGCAGATGCAAAGCAGCCCAATAAGAGGTTTTAATGACAGTTCATTGAACAAATCAGCTACCTGCTGTTTATTAATAACATTCTTATTTTCTCAGAAGCTTCAAAAGAACTCCAGAGAAGATTTCGAGTGCGGAACAACAGCAGCATCAAGTTAAGAATGACGTCGAACGTGAAAAATAAAATAATGCTTAACAAACAAGTAAACGCCCGACTTGTTGAAGTGGACATCGGGTTGA